GCCGGGTCGGGGGTCTGCGGTGCTGAGGGGGCGGTGGGAGCTGGGGGCCGGGTTGTCCTCGGCGTTGGGAAGGGCTGCTCCAGGTTTGGGAGAAGGGGCTGCTCCAGGTTTGTTCTCGTATCAGCGGCAAGAGAACAGGCTAAAACAGAAAGGTAGTCTGGGCAAAGCAACGTCAGGCAGATGCTTTCCGAGAACTGCTTTTCTGAGTAGAGGAAGCCGTCAGAGACCTGAAATACATAGGTCTGAGAAGGACGCGGTGCCACAGGTAAGGTTATCGGTGGTCTGCAGTTGTCCCGTGGCTAGGGAGGTAGCTGGGCAATAGCAGGTTGTGATGGAAAGAAGTGACCTGGCTGGGAAGAGATTCAGGTGGACTTCCTTAGAAAATTGGCATTGTCTTTCATTAACAACTTGAAGACAGAGTGCTAGGTGAATTTGTAAGTAGCGCAAAGTCTGGAAGATCTGCCAACACAAAATAGTTCAGAATATCTACCTGAAATAGATGACCTTCATGGTTATTCAGTTAGAAGCAGCACTAACAGCAGCATCAGTGCTAGAATTGATGAGCTCAGAGCTTGTCTGACAGTGCAGATGCTGAGATGAGGAAGGTAAGGGAAGACGGGCGTCTTCTGGACATGACGTCCCAGTTACTGGTAGAGGTACAGCAGTACAGGGCGCAGGATTTTGCTATTTAGAGATTAGCAACATTTTTTTTCTGTAAAATTCAGTTTTAACATTTCTTTCGATCACATAGTGATCGTAGTGCTGCTCTACATACAGCGTAATCCTATGAGATGCCTGCTGGGAAGACTCGATTCAAGCTCAACATACAGAGAAATGTTGATTACAGGATCGGCTAAGGGCAAATTTCAGACTGTAGCGTACTTGTGTCTACTAAAATGGAGGCTGAAAGAGGACAGAGCTAGTGTTTGTAATTACGCTGGGATGGAAGTACCAGAGAGAGCAAACAGTTTTGGCTAAACAACTTCTTTGCACAAGTGGGAATGAAGAGATTACAATCATGTTCATCTTGGAAATGTAAGGAAAATGTCCGCATAAAGAAAAGAGGGAAGGGAGCAGGGATGTACAAGACAAACTATACATGTTAATGCTAGAAAAAAGATTGTACTGCTGGGTGCTATTCTTCCAGTTCATGGAAACATTCAAACTTGTTTTCCTGCCTTTTGCAATTATAGTCTTCATTAAAGAGCACCTCAAATTACACTATTTATTTGCTGCTTCCTTAGGAAACAATGATTGAAATAGTTACTGTATTACATCACTAGGAAAAGAAAAAACAAGTTACTTCCTGCGCAGTAGAACTAATAAAGCCTGGCCATCTGAACTTGTCTTCTGCTCTCCTTGTGCCTGCTCCCACTGTAATAATGCCATTTCCTTACCATGCCAGATAACCTTCCCTGTTTGCACCACCGTGTACCTCATTGCCCGTGCACTGCCGTATGCCCAGGTCTGCTCTGCCCTTGCACCTGCAGCTTCTCCCCTGCTTTTCCCTTGGTCCTTCACAGTTACCGCTTACCACCCTGTGCTAGTCCTGCGTGCAGGTGAGAAAGCAACGGCTTGGCAGTCGGTTGGCGCTGGGTGCGTGCTGCAGATCAGCTGAGCAGGAGCTGCCAAGGTGGCTGGCTGAGGTCTGAACCTGCCAAGGCTTGCCTGCGCTGGGACATGGACAGCCAGGTAG